TGCATGTACAAGTAAAGGAAAAACGATTAATATATATGTAAAAACAGTAAAATTTAAATTATGTGTTAAAATATATAGACTAATTTGTTGAAACTAACCTGGAAAAATAAACATGAAAGTCAATTAAAATATAAAACAGGAGATAAAGTTCTCTAATTGGTGCCTTTAAGTGTATTTTTTAATAGTTCATTTATATAATTCTGCTTTTATTTCTAATTATGTCAGTTTTGGTCCTCCGTACTGCAGAAGCTTGATAATCATATAGTCATTCATATCAGGTGTGTTGGAGCAGAGAAACAAGTAAAACATGCAGGGCTGTGGCCCTCCAGGACCAGGATTGCCCACCCCTGCTCTAAGTCATACATGGAGGGAACAACCTGACTAAGGCAATCCTGAGCAAAAGATGCAGCTTGTAAAAAAAGAAGCAAAATCTTCAATAATTTTTTAGTTTGTTTGGTTTTTGTTTGTTTGTTTGGCAGAATACATTTGTGACTCACCTCCACYCACACCACCGCGGATGCGTTGTTGACTTGAAACCCCACGGAGTGACAACGAAATGAAAGTGAGATGAAGGTGAGAGAAAAACAAACGCTTCCTGAGCTTTAGCTCGTACATTAGAGCAAAGCCTTCTTTACACAGGCCTGATTGCATCAGAAGCTGGTGGACCAGCAAATAAAGCTACAAGAGAAACATTAAGAGGCACAAAGCTACACTGCACGCTGCTTCATTGGTTCTCAACCCCCTGGAGCTCTGTTTTATTTAGCTCRTGTAAGTAATGCGTGTGAAAAGTTTGGCTAAACGAGTGTCGTATAATCAAGGTTCACCTACTAACATGGCCATAGATGATTAAAAAAAAGTCGTAATGGTCTGACTGAAGGAACTTCATTAAACGTTACTCTACCCCTCCATCCCTGCACCTCCTAGTTACCTCCAGAAGAAGTTGGACTTGAGATATTGTGATAATGATCTGGAGAGAATCCATCCTGGCAAGCTTCAAGCTATGTGTCTTTGATCAAGCCACAGTGGTTTGGACTAATTAGCATCCTACATCAACAGCTACTGGCAGATTTTAGGCGTGATGCTACTCAAAAATTGTGGGTCCAAAAAAAAAGGTTAGCAGTAGCAGTATTGTATTTGAGAATATTTCTTTCTTTTTTTAATGAAAAGAAAATTATAATGCTGGAAGGTTTTAATAGTACAAAAAACTACTTCCTTTGTCAAAAGTGAAAATAAATAAATAAWTGRCTTTCTGCAGTTTGTTGGAAAAGATGAAGCTAGTGTGGGATATGCTGGGACTGTTTGGGTTCATCCAGTCATCTTCCTTTTACCCTCTCCCTACACTTTTTATACATTTTTCACTGATGACTTCCCTGATTTGTTGACCTCAACATGTAAAGAGTTAACTACAGTTTGTATTTTTTATGGAAAGTTTACAAACAGTTGATATTTTACCTGTTGTAAACAGTTTTTTTTAATGATATCACTTTACAGAAATGAAGCTTATTTCTCACCAGACTCTTAAGTATTAGTGCTATGTGTTGTTATCATTGTGTACAATTATGAAACTATGCTCTACGTATGTAAGCACCCAGGGAGAAGCTAGGAATTAGGTGTCTTACCCAAGGACACAACAACATATTGGTTTGGTGGGGATTTGAACCGACAACTTTCCTGTCCCATGTCAGCTGCTCTACCACTGCGCCACAGCCAACATGATTAAAAGACCGGCTACTGTACTGGATGCATGGATTGCTGCCATTTGAAAACAACTATTTATATGATGGAGGGGGGAAACTTGTTTTATTGACAAAACCAAAAGACCACATCGCTGTGCAATGACCCCAATGTAATAAAACTGCCATTTTAAAAATGTTTATGCATATGTACATAGGTACAGCAGGTAAAATAAGTATTGAACACGTCACCATTTTTCTCAGTAAAGGTTCTAATGACATGAATTTTTCACCAGATGTTGGTAACAACCCAAATGATCCATACATACAAAGAAATCAAACCATAAATATCCAGAAATGAAGTTATTTGTAATAATGTGGAATGGCACAGG